CCCTTTAACAACATTTAACTACCAAATGTTGCCTTTTATGTGTTGCAAATAGTGTTTTTTGGTGTAGTGAAAATACTGTCTATTACATTCCGCTCATTTCGTTTAAGACACGATATTGGAATCCTTTTCATTTCATTTTACTTCGTCCGATCTTCTTTCTAAAGAGATTCAATTCGAAACTCTTATATGTCCAAGGTTCAATATGGAAATAATTTCAGTGAAAACCGATCATAAAAATTATCAAGAAGCAATGTCATCTAGAGATAGCACATTTTAGAAAGATGTTGTAAATGACGAAATTGATTCAAGAATGTCAAACAACACTTCAAAAATTAATCGATTTATCACCTTGATCAAAACCTATATGCTGCAAATGAGTATTTTGGAGGAAGTTCAATACGAATGGTATTCTTAATACATTTAAAGTTAGGTTAGTAGCTAAAAGATATCGGCAAAAATAAGGAATAGAATACTTTGACACGTGTGCACCAATTGCACGAATAACATCAATTAGGATTATATTTCCTTTAGCTTCAATCTATGATTTGTATATACATCAAATGAATGTTAAAATGTCATTCTTAAACGGAGATCTCAATGAAGAGATATGGAACAACCGTAAGGAATCTACTCGAAAAATAAGGATAAAGTATGCAAACTAATAAAAATCCTTATATGGATTAAAATAAGCACCAAAGAAATGGCACGAAAAGTTTGACTTAGCAATAATGTCTTTTGGATTTAAACATAATAGTGTTGATACATTTTTATATTCAAAAATATGTGATAATCATATTGTGCTCATTTGTTTATACGTGGATGACATGTTGATTTTGAGCAATCAAATGTAAAGTATAAAAGAAACAAAGAGGTTTCTATCTTCGACATTGAAAATGAAAGATCTTGGTCAAATGGATACCATACTAGGTATCAAAGTTACCAAGACTAGTGGGAGTTATATGTTAAGCCAATAACATCATGTTGAGAATGTGATTAATAAGTTCAAACACTTGAACATTAAAGAGGCTAATACTTCATTTGATCCAATTTTTAAACTTATAAAGAATGATGGAAGAGCTATAGCACAACTTGAGTATGCAAGTGTTATGGGGAGTCTAATGTATGATGTGCAATGTACAAGACCTGACATAGCATTTGAAATTAGTAAACTCAGTCGGTTTACTAGCAATCCAAGAAAATCAAGGATCTAGGTCTCCAATATTCTAAGTTTCTGATAATATTAGAAGGATTTATCGATACTAGTTGGTTATCTAGTGTTTGTGAGAATAAATCAACCTTAGTTTGGGTATTTATCCTTGGAGAAGGTGCGGTCTCTTGGAAATCTGAATTTGTGGCATTAGCTGAAACCGGAAAAGAAGCTAAATGGCTTAAGGTTCTAATGCACGAAATTCTATTGAGAGAAATGAATAATTCTTCTATGTGTAGTGAAGCCACTTTAGGTAGAGCATACAATGAAGTTTACAATGGTAAGTCTAGACATATGAGTCTATGACATGACTATATGAGGAAATTAATCAAAGATAG